AGTTTTAATAACTATTTAGTCTTAAATGAAAAATTAGGTTAATATTTATAGCAAATGTGATGCATGTGTACAAATCAAATGGACATATGCAAAATCATGGATCTGGTTCAACTTTAGGTCGTTTAAACTCGATTTAGGGCTTTTTAAAAGAAAAAAAGAGATCATAGCAGTTAGTACCGGCTGGTAAACTCTATTGCTAACCGAAATATTAAGCACAATTCAGATCCATGTTGTGAATAAAAAAATCTATTGTTTTCCATTTCATATTCCCATCTGTACTAAAAAAAATAAAGAAAAAATATGTGTTGTGTACTGTTCCTTTGCATTGATTTTGTAATTTTGGGCCAGTAGTTGGGCCTCGGAAATCTTGCGCAAAAGTTTTAATTTGGGCCTGACTAAGCTTTGTGGTAGGACTAAAACGCAGAGGAAAGTGACCTATTGCCACCTCATCAGATACTCAAAGAAAAAGAAATATTGTTGGAATATAAATTATAAACAACATTTTTCTCAGAAGAAAATAACAAAAAAGTGGACACCACTTTCCGCAGTTACGGACTGAGACTGAGTAGCAGCCAGCCGCATTGGCCTCGTCATCATAACGATAGGTGCTACAGCTGGCGGATCGGGTCCCGAGTACACGTGTCGCGCATCTAGTGGAGCACCAACGGTATAACGGAAGATTCTGGCGGGAAAAGCTAAGGCGGTGGATTCCACGTCGGCGCAATTGGCGGGAAAAACGTAAGCCCGTTTCATTGATCATTTTGTCCTCATGTGCATCAGCATCATCCATGCATGGCAATGGGATGCACATCATGAGGGCATGATGATTGGTTGATGGGTGGGATTATGGAATCGCACATGATGAGAGAGAAAGGGACAGCATTAATTAATAATTATAATGTCTGTGGCTTTTTAGTGGAAGTTAAATAGTGGATCGGGGCATTTTTTGTACGGGTCGGGTTGCGAAATGGCAGTCTCATCTCCTAGCTGCTGGCCATTTTGAGCCGTTGGATCTGTATTTTGCTAATATTGATACAGACACAAGCACGTGCGTAGCATTGCCCTCTCTTATTTTTGCTCACTTCTCCGATCCCTCACTTTTTCATTTTGTCTCCTCTTTCCTCTCTTTCTTATAATATGGTTCACGTTTGCAAAATTAATACAATATTTAGATATTGTTTGATCAGGAAAATTATCAAGTCCACAAATCTCGACTTGGATGAAAGATGACTTGAAGGACGAGTAGAAACTTGTTGGGTAGGAAACTTGAAAAACATAAGACACTCCAATGCTCAAGTCGGTAGATGGTAGAGCTATATTCGAGATAGAATATAGTATTTGTGTACTTGCGATAGATGCAGATGGTCTCTATTTATAGGCAGAATCTCCGACATGGCTCTAACAACTCTTTAAGTTAACCGATAAATGCGGCGTGCTGTCGTGAAATGTGTTGAAGAGTGAGGCTGAACAGAACATCTTCAGGGCGGTTCGATCAAAGAATGAGAAGAAGACCAAGGGGATATCAGGTTGACTTGGTCGCTTATAGAGTCGGCTCGATCGCTTACAACATCAACTCGAAAACAACTATGAAGACTAAGGTGACGAATCTTCAGTGTGTATATTCAGTGCCACGTGTAATTCTCGTCATATCAAGAATTGCCACGTTTCAGGTGAAAGTTGACCTCCAACAGATATAACGAAAATCCTTTAATTACAAATTTATCATTGTAAGAAAGTTAGTTAGTAAAATGTCTATGTTAAAATTGTGATGAAGAGAAAATTAGATAAAAAAAATGAAAATTAACAAACTGAAATGATATTTTTTTAAGTGGAATAATAAAAACAACTTGAACTAAACTAAAGTTGAAATGGTCTAAAAAAATAATTGATATTTTAAAATTACCATAATAAAAATGAACGAAAAAATTTAAATAAACCATCCCAAATCTAACCAAAATAATATTTGACCTTTTGGTTTATTTTCATTAGATTTAATAACTAATGGACTCGGCTTTACATGTTTACTTGCTTCTTATAGTTAATATTTTAAACTTTAATAACTAATGGACTCGGTGAAATTTTAATTTGTCGCTTACATCTATATTGTAATGAGAATTTTTTCCAAAGACGATTTTTTTAATAATTATTTATAATTTAACTAATTCATATATACTAGACGATGTGGAAAGAATAAATGGTTCTTTTTTTCGTTCTATAAAAACTTATTATATTTGATGTGTGATTGATTCTTATAATAAAAATATATATATGTTTAAATGGGAGCGGGAGCCATAATTAAAGGTGGATGGAGGCATGCATATATATTATTAATCTGATTTATTTTGTGGGGCTTTTATGTTAGGGATATGATTGGGGCGTGCACAAATACAAATCTTTGTGGGAGTGATGATCACGTGCATCCATGGCTGAGACTGCATTAACCAAATGTAGGTCACGTGTTAGTGCGACTTAAGTCAACAGTCACATCACATGCCACAATAACCGACTTAATTGTTATGCTGATGCATGCCTATTATTATTTATTTCTAATTTTTTTCTTTTTAAGTATTAAAAACCTCCGATCAAAAATTCGTGAATTCGATCCCCCAATCCATCCAATGTTTAATTTGGGAGAGTAATTATATTATCTATTCAAGAGTTTAATTATACCACTTATTTAAGTTCAAAGTTTTAATTTATGAAATTAAAAAAATAATAATATTTTATATACTTTAAATCTTATAAATTACCCGTTTTCTAATTAATATGATTTTATTTCATGCGACAATCAATTTGAATGAACTATAATTTTTGTATTTAATATAAACCATACATTTTGATTTACATATTTGTTGATGTAATTTTTGGGAACTCGGGTCGAGTCGAGCAAACCAAGTAATCCGGGGAATTGACCGTCGAACTTTTGGCTAAAGATTTGATTCGAAAATTTGGAGGAGCTTGGATCTGCAATAAGAGAGAAAATAAGAAAACACCGGTGTGGTGTCGGCCGACCACACTCCGATGCTTAAGTCGGGTGATGAGCTTTAAGCGTGGAAGAGAGGAAAATGAGCAAGTCTCGAGTGAATTGCTTGAAAGAGAATGACATACCTCCCTTCTATTTATAGGTTTTGATGGCAGTGTGAACAGGTGTTGAAAAGTCAAAGAGGATTTTTCTAAGTCAACTGCCGCTCTATAATTGGCTCTATAATGAGACCAATAGATGCGCAAAGAAAATCGGTGGGCATTTTGCGTCAAATATCCGCGCTATGCTGGCGGCTTTGTTGGCGGTGGTCAAAGAAAGTGGTTGAAAAAGGGGTGCATCCTAATAGGCCGCACAAAATCGAGGTTTACTGCCACAAGGCGGCGGCTCTACTCAACTTTCCCTCTCTCAGTGTTTTATTGTGCGGCTGGGAGGGGGTGCCGCACAATGCATGATAATGTCATGCATTGTGCCATGTATTATGCATCCCATTGTGCATCTGACTGATTTTTTCTTTAATAGGTTGGGTTCTCTTGAGCCCAATTCCTTTCTCACTTTAGTGCTAAATCTCTTTTAATTCCTCCAACAATATTCTAATTTTTACTATAGTTATTTTCACTATTTGTTTTAATGATGATATATCACAGCTCTTCCTACCTTTTTAGAGTTGATACAATAAAATATTATCAACCAATATGCGATGATCTTTTAATTGGAGATACATATATTAACCAATTGAGTTAGGTCTAGATTGATGGTTAGTTATGTCAACTAATTGAGATATTTTGATACGCACATACTAATTCCTATGCTCTAATAACATTTTTATTATATTTGCATAATTTAATTTGTTGGCCATTAACAATTTGGACCCAAAATATGTTTTCTACGCTCACACGATCCTATTCGAGGTGTGGGCTTGGTCTGATGTCACTGTGACAAACAAATGGGTATAAATTTTTATGCAACATTAATTTGTTATTATCAAGTTAAGAAATAAAACTAAATAATCGATAGAAATGTTGTCGTAACTGTTAAAGAGAAAACACTTAAATAAGAAACAAAAGGCCAATAAATTAAGGTACCTATTCTCGACTAAAAAGTTATGAGTTCGAATTTTCACTCCACATGTTGTATTAGAAAATAATGAAAAGTAAAACGTGAAAATGGAGAAGAGAAGTATCTATGTAAATACAATATATATATATATATAAACAAGCAAGAGTATTCACAAGCAAGAGTATTCTCAAGCTCGAGGTTTTAATTTTTTCACAGTAGTACTTTTGTTGACTTCCGCTTTATTAATGACTAAATTTCTTTCGTTGAAACCCATATTGTGACTAGCATTTGCTGCTGCCGACTGGCTTTTTGAGAAGTCCGTTCCCACCGCGCTCACGGCCCGATTGGCCTGCCAACGGTAGTTTTTATCTATTTCACCTACTTAATAGTATGAAAATGCATTCATTTCCTCTGCATTTGACTCGATTTATTATACTATAAGTGAAACAAGGGATCTAAAAGAAAAACACAGGCGAGACTCTATTAGTAACAAGTAAATCCTGTGTATGTAAAAAGTATCAATATTTTTGGGGTTAAAGAGAGAATTCCTATCAATAATAAAGAAAACAAGAGTAAAATTGCATTACACACAAATCAAAGAAAAATAATAGGTAAATTGAAGATCCAAGACGCCCCTAATGATCAATATAAGTACGAATGAGTCATATTATTATTTTTAGATCAATTTAGTTTGTTTTCTATATTTTGATGGATATATTTAAAAATTTGACTAAAATTTGAAAACTTAAACAAGTTCTAAAAACTCTCTTAATTCATAAAATTTTGATATAAATTACGAATATTAAATTATTATTGAAATAAGTAATAAGAAAAAGCCATTAATGGATTATGTTGCACTTTATAGATTATCTCTATATATAAATTGCAAATATACAGATTACCATTCAGGAGACGGTTTTGAAGCAACTATTTGTAGAATAAAACATATTTTAAATTCGAAAACAAAATATCTTTTGGTATGCAAGATCACGTAAAAACAATATAATTTTGAAAAATTTAATATGAATATTAAAATTGATTCATAAAACTACAATTTAAACTAACGATTAAATGAATTATTCAAAATTTTAAAACTTTATTATATTTTTAATATTAAATAGAGAAATAGAGAGAACAATCTTATATCATATAACTAAATATTGTCATTGTGATACATCATATATATATTTTTAAAGAATAGATATAAAAAATTGTAATTGTTACATTTAAAAAATTATTCAATTGAATATATAAAAGATAGTAAACATGGTTTTAAAATGGTACTGATAAGTAATTTTTTAAATTAAGTATTTTTATTGTATGTTAGAATTATTTATTTCAATAAGAAAGACATTATAATATTTCAAATAAAAAATAAATCAGTGAAAGAGAAATTTAAAAGCTTATTCATTCCACTTAGATTGAAAAATTAAAAACTTTTCAATATTTCAAATACAATGTAGATACTAAGTCATCATTGAAAAAACTCAACTTGTTTATCTTATCAAGAGTATTGATTTCATTACTTGGTCGGGAAGTAAAAGGCTCATCTAAATTTGAAAAAGAACCCAATAATTTTCTAAAAGAATATGTAAAATATATAACTATGTCTATTAAAACAATACCGTTTAATTAAAAAACGATATTTTGATTTTAAAGAAATACAAGATAAAATATGAATAATATAAAAAATCCAAAATAGGAGTATAATATTCATTATCTCTCCGCCACCATTTTTGCTTTTCCCAAAAGAAAAAGATATTTATTTATTTAAGGAAACAAAGCGGGGAAGGAAGAACAAATCTAAAAAACCATTAATATAAAACAAGAAAGGAACAAAAATGTTATCTCCCAATAATATAAAGGTTAAAAAATACATTTCATCCCTATACTCAATTTAGTTTCCCAATTTTAATCTGTAACGATTTAGTCCATGCATTTTCACTAAAGTAATAATTTAATCATTGAATTTTAACTTATAACGATTTAGTCCCTATAGTTTAAAATTTATAACATTTTAGTCCCCAAAGTAATAAATTTTATTAAAATTAAGCGTCAAATTTTATCACATAACAATTTATTCTTTATAATTTATAAATATTCAATCCCTCCTTAGTTTATCAATATATATATATATATATATATATATGAAAAACTTAAGAAAAAATTTCACGATAAGGACTAAATCGTTTTTAAATTACAAGAACTAAATTGTTACATATTAAAGTTGAATGACTAAATTATTACCAATTTAAAAGTACATAGACTAACTCGTTATAAACTAAAGTTTAGATATTAAATTATTACTTTTGTGAGGGTAGGAGGACCAAAAAGTGTGTTTAACTTAATATAAAATATGGATGGGAAGAAGAAAAAACAACAACCTTAAGTATTATAGCAGGAGAATTTAATTAAAAAAAAGATTATTACCTATTAGGAGAGTTTAAATTGAGAAAAAGATTTTAATTTTAATATATGTAAATACAAAAAATATCAAATCCACCAAATCCCGTATTCAAACAAATTGTAAGATCCGTGGGAATTTGCGGCGAAACGATAGACACGTGCCAGTACGAAAGTTTCAGAATCCGAGTTCAATAAATCATAATATGGATGTGATGTACATGGTTCCGATGGCCATACATGGCCATCATCATTCATCAACCATCCCTTATTAAGCAAATTCCACTCTCCGGCTCCCTCATTTACTTCTGTAAAATTTGACCGCTCCTCTGAAGAATTGCAGGCGCAACCGACTGTGAAAGCTTAGAATAATTTCACGAAAAAGGAACCGCAGAGAGACAGAGAAAGAAGGGAATCAGAGGTCCAAACTTTTTGCCTTTTCTTTTTTTTTTTTCCTTCTTTTTAAACATCGGATTCAATGTTCGTTCGTGTTGTTACATCTCACTGTTACTGTTCTTTATCATATTTTCTCGATTTCTGATGGTTTCTATAGAGATTTGTGATTCAATTCTGCGTTCTCCAAAATCGATGGCTATAGATTGGTGATCTGTTATGGGTTTACTCTATTGGGTTGTTTAGCGTTTTCTTTGAATTTTTGAAGGCAGGGCTCAGAGTTTTGTCCATCTGGGTCTGTGGTTTTGAAGTGGGAAAGAAGTTCGAAGAGGAGTAGATTTATGTCGGCTTTGTTCATACTGGCAGTCATTGGGGCTCTGTTGAAGCTCTTGTTTTCTCCTTCGTTTCTCTGCTGGTTCTGGCAGAGGTTGAATCTCGTGCAACAATCGTTTTCAATGCGTTTGAGATCGAAAAGGCAAGACTAGTTTCAAATTTCAAGTTCATCCATCATTCTTTTGGCCTCAGTTGGGTTTTCGTTTTTTAAATTGGGTTTCGTTTTTCTTTTTGCAGGACTTGTTCTGGAGTGAAGTTCTGGGATTTTCGTATAAAACAATATTTACTCCCTTTCATCTCAAAGGGGATAAGCTTACAATTACACTGCTGCTCTGATTCTCAGAGATCTTGTTTTTCTTCCGCTTGATTATACATTTATTCTCGTTCCTTTTGTTCCTGATTTAATCAAAATGCTACAAAAAATTGTTAGCAGAAAGTCCAAACTGCTAGCAAATTCCTCTGGAAATCCCAAAATGACGAGAAAAGTTCGGGTAATTTGTTACGATCCTGATGCAACGGATTCGTCTTCAAGCGAAGACGAGGGAGAAAAATTCGCAGGAGGAAGGAAGAAAAAGCGAATCGTACACGAAATCCACCTCCCTTTACTCCGTCATTCGCCAAAAACGGGTATTGAATCTGAGGGTTCTCAGAACAGCAACAACAAGATCAAGAAAAATTCGTCCACTCGAAAACCCATTCGTCCGTCTTCTTCGAAATACAGAGGAGTGAGGCAGCGGACTTGGGGGAAATGGGCGGCGGAGATTCGAGATCCCTTTAAGAAAGCTCGTGTTTGGCTTGGCACTTACGATACTGCTGAAGAAGCTTCCCAAGCTTACGAGTTGAAGAGGCTGGAGTTTGAAGCTATGGCGGCGGCCGCGGCGGATTCCCAAACGGAGCTGCCGGTCTGTTCGGCGGAGACCACCGTCTCCCACACATCGCCGTCGTCGGTTCTCGAATGGGAAGATTCAACTTCCAACACCAGAGATTCTTCTTCAACCCAAGAAGAAACAGACACCAATTTGAACTATGTCCAGGAGGTCGAATTGATGAACACTGTGGACGAAGGATTGGTCCGAGGGCCATTTATGGACAATATAAACATTGGGAATGAATTCGATTCGATTCTGGAGGATGGAATCGGGATGTTCTTGGAGGATTTTGCGAATTTGGAGGATACCCAGATTTTTGGTGAAATCAGCGGCCTTCCGAATTGGGATTTTGGGGATTTTGGGAACGATGACATCTCTTTTTGGTTTGATGAACCCATCAACATAACCTGCCCTTAGATTTTTGCAGCTTAGGAATTTTGCTTCTTGCAAATTCAAATTTACATTTTGAGAGTGAAAAGAGAGAGAGGCCTTTTGGGTTTTCTTGTTCTGTAAGAGCCGTCCATGAGGTGTTCTTCTCTTGTTTACAATTTTCCATTTTAAGTGAAATTGAGATTGGCTTGTTTGTAAGTTATAGTTTATGGAATATGATATGCATATTCACAACACTTCCAACCATAAAAGGATTTGGCTAAAAATCTCAATCATCTAAAATTGCATTTACAATTAAAAGTTTGATTGATTCGATGTTGAATGCAAAATTGTGTTTTTTAATGGAAACTTTTAATAAAATGGGGTAGTCTTAGACTAATGCTAAATTTGTTACCTTTTATTTTTGATAAATGACTTTTATTATGAGTTGTTTCCTATTGTTAGGTCTAAAATTTAAAATAAAATATAATTTAAAATTTGTGACCATAAATTCTTTTTACCCCTTTTATAGGATTGGAAATATCGCTTTATCATTAAAAGAATATTTATTTTGTTCAGTGACCTTATTTAAAAAATATTTATTTTGATCTCTAAAATTTTAATATATTATTTGTGTTCGAATTTTAAACAATACTAACTTTTTTTTCTTTTTTCTTTTATTATTCTACCATTTAATATCAACCCACCTTAGCCAATCTGATATAATATATACTTACATATATGTATGTTAATATGCTATTTGAAAGTCAAATGACATGACTAAAATGACTATTTCATTAAAATTTAGAGACTAAAATAAAAGAAAAAACGTATGAATTAAAATAGATTGGATAGTGATTTTGAAAGTTTAAATAATAATGCATTATTATTTTTTCCTTAAAAAAAAGAAATTTTTTTAGTACAGTGAATTTTATCTTGAGAGTCAAGTTTCCAAATAAAATTTAAACTTTCAATATATATTTCAGAAAGATAAATCTTCATTGGAAAGATGAATAAAGAAAGAGAGAGAGAGATCTTTTTTTTCTCAAATTTATTTTTTATTTATTTCTCAACCTATCCCTTAAAAGTAATGATATACGGTCTCTAAAGACGAGAAATAATGACGACCAAAAATTAAAATTTTATCTACTTATCAATAATTGGTTAATAATGAAATAATAATAATTATAATAATAAGGACAAAACGTAATTTTAGAGTTCATGCAGTGGGATAGGCCAGTCACTACCTGAGAGTTGTTGTTTGAGTTATGATTTTATGCTATGTGTCTTGCCCCTTATTTTGTGTGTTATCATTTGGGGTTGTTTTTTTTTATCTCGACTGTGATATCGTCTAATTTTTGTTTAATATATTTATCTTTGTAAAAAAAATATAATAATATTGAAAATTTAGATTTGTTGTGGAAAATTCTAAAATAAGTTAGAGCTTGTATTTGAAGATGGTGGAGGTAGAGTATGGAGCCTTATATAAGAAGTTATATTTGTTACAATTTTCGAAAAAACCAGATCATCATATTTGAGTCTAACTAAAAATGTTGTAATTAAATTTGAGAATCTTAATTATTCCTAATTTATATGAATATAGAATCTAATTTCAAATAAATATTGAATATTGGAATTGTTCTATTATAGAACATAATAATTAATATAACGATTAATAGAATATAGCGATAGCAAATTTTTATCTATTTATCAAATGTATGTGTATCAATAATTAATGTGTTAATCTCAATTAGATAGTAAATTTACGGTTTTTTTAATTCAAATAATATTTAAAATTATAGTCATTTTAAAAAGAAAATATTGAAAATACATGTTTTAAGCATTTGATTATAAAATTACTTTCCTATCAATCTCCCCTCTCTCCTCCCTCTCTCCTCCTTCCCCTCCTCAATCTTCCTCCCTCCTCCTTCCTCGAAAATTTTCCTTTTTCTTCCCCTTTTCATCTTCTCCCCTCAATTGCGTTGGAGGGAGGAGATTGATGCGGCGGCTCGGAGAGGTCACATGACTGGACCATGTCTCCAACAAATTGCTGAATCTGAAATCTATTTTCACCTAAATCTATTTGGATTTCAGGTTTATTTTCGCCCAAATCTATCAGAGTTTTCCCCCAAATCTCTCACCAAAATCTCTCCGATCTCTCTCGTTTCTCTCGTTCTGGAGACGGCTGGTAGGGTTTTTACTTTTTAGAGGGAGAACCAAGATAAAAACCCTATTTTAAGTCTAGGATCTATGATTGTTTTTTTATTAATTTTATAGACAGAGGGGGTATTGGATAGGTTAAGGAAGAAAGATAAAAAAATTTCTTTGTTGGAAAGATTTTCCTTCTCAGCGTGATTATAAAGGAAATTGTCACATTAATTTTGTACTTTTTGTTAATAAGTTTGGAAAATTTTATAAGGGATAACAAGAAATTTGAACGTTTTCAAGAACAACAGAAAACAAAAATGGAGAGAGGATGAGAGAGAAAAGATGAAAAATGGGTGGAAAGGGAAGAAGAGAGATATTTTTTTGGGAGTTGTGTTGGGAAGAGTCAGAGAAAGAAAGGGAGGAAGGAGGAGGGAGAAAGGAGGGATATGGTGGTCTGATGTCAGCAAATATCTAAGAAAATTTATGTTTTGAAAATGGCGATTAAAAAACAAAAAAAAAAAGGTTGTGAAGAACCCTATTTCCTCAAATTTCCTACGTTGAGATTTCTTATATTTATTTTATATTTATATTATAAAATTGCGACAGTTGCTCATAAACCATAAATCGAAACGGAGTTCAGATTCAAATTGGTAAAACCACAGGCCAGAAGTTCAATTGTTTCATTTTGAAAGAAGTTAAAATCATTGTGTCGTAAACTCTCGATGGAATCAAAGAAACCCTTTGTGTCGGAAACTCTCGATGGAATCGTCAAACATTTGCTCTAGCGTCTTGAAAGCGGGGAATCCCAATTCAGAGATCTTGCTTGTGTCCATGGTGTGATGGTTGTTCTCTCCTTTCTGGTCGCTGCACCTGTTAGCGTTTTCAAACAGGAGAACGTTCACGCAGACGAAGTGTTCGACGAAAAGACTAAGAGAAAAACAACTATGGAATTCCGTCGAGATTTTTCAGACTAACTTGTTCTCGAATGGGTAGGATGGATACTTAGCCCTCAGCATTTCAATGATCTCCGACCAGTGAGCCACTGAGCTCGAACATATGATCCTGCCCGATGCTTTTGGTTCTTCCATAGCCAAGATGTGCGCTGCTACCACATCATCTATGTGCACAAACCCCACTGTACAGTTTGGATATTCGCCCATTTCACCTGATGGAACAACCCATCTGTTTGATGTTTGTTTTTTTTCCATCAAAGAGAAAACTGAGAAAGAAATTTTGGGATTGTGTAAAGAAGATGGGGAGATTTAAACCTTTGATAATGTTGAGTAGGAGACGCTGTGTGCTGGTTGGCCGTGGAGTAAGCAGAGGACCAACAACAAAAGATGGGTTCACCACGACTAGATCCATCACATGTTCTTCTGCCAAACGCCATGCCTCTTTCTCTGCCAATGTCTTTGCAAACGCATACCAAAGCTGCAAAAATACCCAAATGGAAGAAAAGTAAAAGAGCATCAACTTTCTTGAGCAATTGAGTTTGAGTCTAATCTTGGAAATGGAACAGAGGAAGTGCAGTTTGTTCTGACGTTGTAGCTCTTGCAATAGTCCGGATCTGTCCAATGGGATTCATTGAGAGGACAAAGTTGTTGGACATCATAGCGGTATCTAATTGCAGAGCAGGAAGAGGTGAGGACTACTCGTTTCACACTGTTTCCTTTTAAACAGGAATTTAGTACATTCATTGTACCCTTTATACATGGATCAATAAGAGTTTCCTGTTTCATATTTGCCACATTAATTAAAATACACAACATAACGTAATGGCTTATTTGTATTTTACACATGCATAAAATGATAGTTTGTATGAGGATTCAACAGCAATAGTACATGAGTACTCCATCCTAATGTTTGGGGCAGGTTTGGTAACATTATTGTTTATGTTTCATTTCTCATATTTCTTTTTAATATAAACTTTTGGTAATGATTCTTCTGGTTTCTCATTTCTTATTTTTAAGAAACAATAAATAATAACTAAATTTCTTCAATAAAAAAGAAGAAAATAATTACTATTAGGAAAGATAAAACTGGAAACAGAGCAAACAAAAACTGAGAAACAAGAAAAGAGGTGTTATCAAATCGATCTGAGATAACATTTGGTTCATGAGAAGACTGAATTTGTATAGCATGGAGTTCAGGTTTTAGGTTGAATAAGACTAAGTTTATGTAACTTCTGCTTGAAAGTTATAATGTAAGGCTGAGGCCGAGAATTAGCTTTTAGCCTTTGAAATCAATTGAAGAATTGGGATCGTGCCTTGATGTTGCTGTTGAAGGGAACAACAACAGGTGAAGCAGTGTGGAAGACCCCATCCACTCCTTGAATTGCCTCATCAAAGCTACCTTCTTCTAATAAATCAGCTTTTACTATCTTCAGCCTCTCCTTGGCTCCATTAAACTCCCACAGAAATCCAACGTTTGCATCATCCCCTGTCCAGGAAAAAGGTAAGGTAATCGTTAAAATCTATATCGAACCCATCAACTTAAGTTTCAAAGTAGAGGAACGAGCATATGGAAGATGAAGAGGGCAAGTTGAGAACCTGGGTTTCGAACGGTGGCGCGAACGCGGTGACCATTCTCGAGCAGTGTCTTGACCAAGTTGGAGGCTATGAAGCCAGTGCTGCCGGTTACGCAGTACTCGGGCATGGCTTCTTCGGCTGTGCGTGTATGCGGCTGTATGCGTTGATGGATGGGGTTTATACGGTGGCCATGCTTGCAGTTATTTCTTATTATATTTATATTGATTTGATGGAATACAATTACAAGAGAGGAAGATGACTCATCCATTTTGTAAGGTGGAGTTTTCTAAAATAAACATGAAGCGTGCTTTGATTTCTACCCTTTTTTAGGTGTAACTTGTCATGTGTTGCCATACAAAGGTTGTTGCTTGCTCTAGTGACATGGTTGCATACGATAGGTGCTTTAACTTTCGGAGAATATGATGATTAGTGGAAAATGCTCAAAGTCGGCACAATCAAACTTACAAATTAATCTAAACATATTTTTAGGGCTATCTAAATTTCTATGTTTGTTTGACAGTATAGTAGGATCTAACTCGATGGTGGAATACTCGATGGTGGCTTTGGAACATGGCACATCATTCTACCATAATGAAATTCTAATATGGGGTTGTTGTCGGCTAAAAATGAAACGAATCACGTTCTATTTCACCAATCTCGATGTATTTAATTGGGAGAGGTGTTTTTAGTTGTATTGCTTGATTATGGAGTCCTACAAGATGAATTTGACATTAATCTGCAGAACATTGTAGATGTTATTGAGCTCACAAAATAAGAACTTGAGTTTTGTCGTGGGATCAAATCATAAGATACTATTTATACTAATAGTTTAATTGAAAACGTCAAATCCGTAATAGATTTAACTTAATATATGAGGATGATTGAAAATTAGATTTTTGTAGTCTGTGAAATTTGTAAATTGCTTCCCCATTTTTGGAATATGATCCTATACTTATGGTTGTATAAATGTGAAAATTGAACGCTTTAAGGATTGTGGTGTGCGAAATTCGGCAGAGGCTGTATAAATGTGAAAATTTAACGCTTTAAGGAATTTAGATTTAATTAAATCGAATAGTACAAAAATAAGATTTAATTAACTCCATGTTAATACATAGAATGAAATTAATTTATTGACACTTTCTAACGTCAAGTCGTTGTAGTTTAGTGGTGAGTATTCCCGCCTGTCACGCGGGTGACCCGGGTTCGATCCCCGGCAACGGCGTTTTGTTTTTATTTTTATTTTTCCTTTCCGGGAATATTTCCCCTACGGGGCCTACTTAGCGATGGAGGCAAAAAAATACGAACCCGCCATAAAAACGTCCTGCAATTTTCCTTCCCGCGCTCACTCTCTCTCTCGGTCGACTAATCTCTCTGTCAACTGAGGATTTTCAGAAAAACAACATCTTTCATACCTCGTTCTTCATCTACTGTTGTCTTTTATTCTTAATCTCATGCGCGTTCCTTGATTTGTTTTTCCATTTCAATGACGAGAGCTCAAATAAAAGAACAGGCAGACGCTAGTCTTGAAATAATTTCCATCGGATCCTTGTACAGTGGACTATGGGACAAGAAGTACTGGAGCAGCTCTAGGGTTCGATTCCTATTTATTTTCTCCATGTATCTTTTGATTTATTTATCTGTAATTGATTTCATGTATCGCGGTGATAATGTTGAAGTCGTCGATGATATTTGTCTATGTTTATTTAATCATTTGTTTATCTCCTCTAGATGCGAGCATGTTGTGCTTGTAACATGAGTTGTTCCCTATGGAATTCTGTATTTTCCGACTAGGTTGCTTTGAAACGGTTTCTTTTATGATAATTGGCTCGATATAAATCGAACCTTCGGATTAGCATTTCATGCAAAGTTGATTTTTCTTGTTAACATTTCAAACTTAAATGGACTGCAATTGAAGTTTACTCTATGAAGACTGGCATGGTAAAAAATGAAAGGACTTCTAAGAGCTATTTAAGCCAGTTGTCTGAAGTGATGGCAGCAATATAAAATCATATCTAACAGTAACTGCAATTTCTGAAATAGACCGTAAAGTTTAGTTGATCACTACTTGCAAGTACGATCGGATTCTACTTTATGAAGTTCCACTGACAAGTTAATTTTATGTAGTGCGAATTTAGAGTAAGTTGGCTTCAGTAATCAATGTCCAGTAAATCCTCAGGAGGTTCAACTATCAACAATTCGAATATCTAGACTAGAAAATTAGGATCAAATTGGTAAATTTGTGAATTCATACTGCTTGGTAAACTATTACTTATAATGCAGGTTGTAGCTACGATTCTGTCAGGTATTTTAGATCCAAGAACAGTAGATGTCAAACAGAGCTGGAAAAATTGATTTCGGAGTTGCATGTGGTAGTTTAAACGCGTTCTATTAATTATTTACTGATGAGACATTATCGTGTCACAGAGTGGCTATGTAGGGTGTATGTCTTTTTCTACTCTTGCAATGTAAATAAGATATATATTTGAGAATGATGATTCTCCCCTTATGTTATATAGGAGATTCCCGGATTAGAGCTTTAAGAAGTCGAGAGAAGATGAATTTACATAATTATAGATAAAAAATGCTACTGACTATCTACTGTAATTATTAAATTGTTGTGTAGGGTAAAGATCGATATCCCTATCCAGTTGGATATCAGGCTATTCGCGCTTACAATGGGATCAAATATAAAATGGAAATCCATGAGGGTCCGAAAGGGCCTTTATTTATGGTGTGTATGACCTCTCCATTAAATACTCAATATCTGTGTTTCTCAGATGCTGTCTCATAAGCAAATATTTATTGAAAGGTTAAATCTTCCTTACAGATTTTGTCCATGGATGGAGGTTCATTTTCTGGGCAAACCCCTGATATTGCGTGGGAAAAGTTTCAGAGGAAAGGTTGCCTCCACAATAAAATTTGGCACGGGAAAAGGTCTTCATGCAAGGTTGATGGTGTTGAGGTATAATTTTTCTCTTTCCACCTGCAGTTTGTTTGCTTCTTAGATTTGCTTTTTTTCAACGGAACTCTGAACCAGTGAGACAACCACGAATTAATTAGTCCCTATCATACTGTAACCTCTAATTTCTTGCACTTCCTACAGCCCCTTTCTATGATTTTCTTCACCATGTTAACTCAAAATTCTTGAGGCAAATTTAGCTTTGAGTTACTCCGGTCAAATTGGTGGGTTAAATTTCAGAGTTACTAATATCTCCGTAGTTTGAAAATATCACCATTGAGCAACTTCAGTTTCACTCATGAAGTGAAATCCTTGTGGATTTGCACTCGGGGAGTTGATTTCATGCAATCATAAGAGCAATGATTAACTTTCTACCTTTCGTATATATCTATGCAAATATTTGAGGTCAAGTAAAAAACCAGACGATGTTAGTGCAATGAGACAGAGAAGGCATAAAGTTATCTTTTCTGTTGTTGTTGTTTTTTGTTTGTTTGTTTGTTGAGAAGTTAAATCATCTTCTTGGAAAACATAACTAATACAAATATCAAGCATAAGCAGATAGAGTAACCTTTTCTTTCACCTTTTTGATATATTTTTTCTTTGTTTCGCTCAGGAATGAGGTTAATTAGCTATTATACTTCATTAAAATGTCTATGAGCTAATGGATTTATCTTCTGATGATTAACAAGCATAATATTATTCTCTCTCGCCCACAGGCGCGCACACATCCGGCAGACAATCAAATGTAGAAAATTTAATTTTAATCGCAGAATATAAAACATTTGGTGACATTTTATTTATTTATTTTTTGTTGTATGTAGTTTTTTGGGTTAAAAAACCCATTTATTCAGAGGTTACTTAGGGAGCTAGTGGCAAATATCAGTGGAACAGCAGAAGTAAATCTGCTTCCTTCAAACTTATGCAATAATGCTTCTGGATCTGCACAGACTAAAGTTGAGCATCATTCTGCTGATGAATGTGAAAAGGCTGAATTGATTCCTTGCCCTGAAAGATCAAAGATTATAAGAAAGAGAAGCAGGAACCATGGAATTGAAATTGCAAAGTCACCGGGTGGGGCTAAGCTAAAAAAAGTACGAAATCATTGTCCAAAAATTAAATCCATGACTGCAAAACTGTCAAGTTCAGTGTCTGTTAATGAAGAAAATCAAAGTTTTTGTGGTAAGTATGAAAAGGAACAAATTAAAGGGATTTCCTTGACTGTTCCGAAAAATGATGACATCAGTAATAGGCCAACAACATTTTTGGCAGCAGTACCTGCATCAGCTATAGGTGAGGATAAAAACTTTATGAGTTGTTAGCTAAATATTCATCTCCATTGTATTTTTAACTTATTTGTTCATGCCTCAGAGAAAGCTATGCGCGAAGATGGCATCTCTGCAACCACTGAAGTAGCTCATAACTTGCCCAATGATGAAAAGCTTGTGAGATTATATTTTTTTTTATTCACAATTAGCTTGTAATTGTAGACATGTAAACTTCCTTCAAGTTTATGATTTTCTAGTGTTTGCTTTTGAAATATATCACAGTTTACATTTAGGCTCTTGTTCATTTATATTAAACAGATAGATTGTTTAGAGGAATATGTTTTAATTCTTTTTTTGTTAGATTTAAAAATTGTGATTGTTATATATTGGTATGAGAAACACTCTTAACTTCTTACAGCATGATAGGTTGTCAATGGACAAGTTGGAAGGTATTAATCGAGAAATGGAAACGGATGATAACAGTGGAGTTGCTTCTTTCCAAAAAGATTGTCCAGATACTGAAGATGATCATCATCATGCTTCAGATACTTCAGATCTAAAGCAAGGTTTTTTATGACTATTGCGTGTTTACAACAAAGCATGGGTTATACGTATTTCTTTTTTATTTTAAATTTTAATAATTGAATGCAGTTATTTTTGTGTCTGCTCCAGATAGCTTGGGAAAGAATAACCTCAATCAGCCTGATATTGTCGTACCGGAAGAGTTGGTGATGGACTCCCATCCAGAAGAAATCTGCTCATTGAACATAAATTCAGGCTCTGAAAGAAATGATTTTGATTCAGTAGGTCAAGATATGGTGAAGTCAATGATGACATTTTTGCTTCCACAAGCAATTCCTTTGCTTAAGAAGACTTCTGGAAGGAAAAAGGCCTCCACTTCTACTTTGGAAAGTTTGCCTTGTGGTAATATATGAACAACTTGTACCTTTTGTGATTAAAATTTGACAAATGCAAAGATATACTCAATATGTGCATGTGGAAAAAATTATAGTTTTATTAAAATATAAATTTTGGTTCATCTGCAGATGGAAATACAAAAGATATATTGCCTATGGAGAAAGAAGATAGAGAAAAGCAGGAACACATGGTCACCCAACATGGGGATTACCAATCTACTGTCCCAAGTCTTGAACTTTCCAGACCTTCTCTTCACAATCTAGAGGGTGAGCAACATTACGACCATGTGGACATTAATGGCAGCTTCTCTTCTATTGCTGATGATGGCAGAGCTAAGGAGGATCTGAAACCTATTAATTCTTGTGGATTTGAATTGTCTGGTCGCATGAATGATGAGTCATTGGTAAATCATCATGAAACCACCGGAAGCAAGAAGTCCTGTGACAGTGAAATTGGTGAAAATTTGCATGGAACATGTCAGGAGGGTAATTTGTATGTTCCAGAATGTCTTCCCAGCTGGACTTCTTCTGGTATAGCTCTTTTTGATGAAACTATGCACAATAATATAAGGATGGAAGAATGTCCGTTAAATCTTCAAATAAATTCCGGGAAAGTGGACCTGAGAACTCCTAAAGATTATGTAGAAAGCAATGGTGATGAGCAACCTTGTCTGAGTGTATCCTTCTCTCAACTCCACGGTAAGAATTTGTTATAATGGACACATGCTTCTTTACTCTAGAAATTTAGTTAGTACCAATCGTTCACTAATGATAATACCAATCACTATCATTAAACTTCATTTGTACTGTAAACATTTCCTTGAAATACTTTCGTGTTAGTTAAACTTGGTAGTGAAGTACAAAACTCCCTTATGACCAATTTATCAACTATGATAATCTATTAATTGATGTTATGCTATCTCCTTTTCAGCTCAGAATGCCTATGATTCAAGTACCTCATCATTTTCAGAGGCACTAAATAAGGAAGTCCTTGCAGGAAAAAAGGCAGCGGGGATTGACACTTTGCCATCTTCTCAAGTTCCAAGCATTGTCTACAGTAGGAGAAAAGCTCAAAATGTGTCTCATTTGACTAAGGAACACAATTCCCCACCCAATGAAGCTTACCGCACTAATTGCCTTGGAAAACATTTTGGTGCCGAAATATCATCCACTAGATCTCCACATTCTTCTGATACCAAAATTAACATTCTACCTAGAAACCAACAAAGAGAAGATTTTCTTTCTGAACCTACACCTGGAGAACAATCCCCCATCAATTGCAGTTATAAAATTACTATGAAGTCTGAAGCAGGATTAGAAAAAATATGTTCTCTCAGTCCTACATTAGACCAAGAAGAGGCTTCACTGAGAGCGAGAGCCAACATGAATGACCATAATTCAGAACTTCTAGGTAAACCTGTTTGGAAGGAAGATTTGGAAGGTTGTGTTGACGAGGAGATGATTGAACATAACAACGTTTTTAGTACAAATAAATACGAGTTATCTCATGATATGGGGGCGACCTTCAGGCACAATAATAAGGATTCTTATCCTCATTGCAACGTGGAGCTCTATCGTGAGGCAGAAGGAATGTCAAAGATAGTGGGATCTTATTTGCACCCCATGCCTGTATTATCAGTATTTCTCATCAACGTTGAGAACTTAATCCACATTTGTGTTTTGTGTGGTCTCCCAGTGGACAAGAACAGAACACTCATGACTTACACGGTGGAAATGGGAGAACCAAGGTTGGGATACCCATCTTTGGTTGGTCACACGACAGTAACGTTGCCAACTCTAAACGATTATTTGGGCAAAGAAGTGAGTTCTCATTTCTGTAACTCAAGTTTATTACTGTGTTAGGCTTCCCTTCACATGCTGGATTAATTCCATGAATCTATATTACCCTTGGCTAGATCGCAGTTGAACGAACTGGTTTCCAGTTAACTCCAGATGGGAAATATATTGTTTTGATCGGTGGCGTTAGAACTCCTTTTTGCAGGTTGTAAACATTTTATGAATTTTAAATATTTATAATTTTAAACAACAATAATATTATGAGAACTAATTTTATAAAGATATTCTCAGGACAGGGAATATTAATTGTTCATGCTCTACATGTACATCTGGCAAGTTTGAAGAGAATGTCGTGAATATTGTGCAAGTTAAATATGGCTACGTGTCAATCATGGCAAGCTTGAAAAGTGCTGACTGTGCACATTGTATATTGGTTTGTGAACCTGACCAGCTTGTTGCTGTTGGGAGGGGTGGACGTCTGCATCTTTGGGTCATGGACTCAACTTGGGGGTGTGTTTCATTGAAATTAATTATTCTTGAATTTTTTGTTATTCATATAAACTTCATGTTTGATAATAATTGAACGTGCAGTTAATTCTTCGTTTCAATCAATTTTGATATAATGTTAATATGCATCATAATCAGTCTACTCAAAATATTGATTTACAATCCATTAGATTCAAGCTCTTCAATCAAGGTGCACCCCTCTTTTTGTGATTACTTTTTGGTACTGCTTCAGTAATTTTTTGAGAATGTAGAATGTTGATGAAATGCTTCAATGGAATATTTGAATATGAGTATGTGGTTAGAATTTCAGCTGCAATCTAAATGATAACATGTTTGAATACCGCATTTTAGTAAGCTTTCATGGTTTTTAAGCTCTTTTTTTCCTTTAGTGGTTTCTTGTTATTAATAAGGAATACTTTTGGATAAAAATATGATGAGGTGGTCCTTTGGGCTCTCATTTTTTTGTTCGTTTGGCAGTTTAAATGGAATTTAATGTACCCATGCAAAATAATGGGCCCTTCCTATATTATTCTTCCATTGATTGCTTGGCTTTTCTTAAACCTAATTCTCCATACACAAGCTGATTTGGGCCTAACCTCTGCTTTTGCAGCAAACAGATAGAAAGTCATACCATACCGTCCGGGGATCACATATCTCCTAACTTGGTGGACCTTAAAAGGATCCCAAAGTTTGCCAATCTGGTTGTAGGCCACAATGGAGTTGGTGAATTCAGTTTATGGTATGTCTTTGCTTAACAGTTTCTTATCAAACTTCAAACTGTTAAGCCTTGTATTTTCTTATCAAACTTCCTATATTATCTACATCAAGTACAGAATATTTTTACTTTCTTATCAATGGTGGAATGTCTCTAATAAGCCTTGTATTTTCTTATTGTTAAACTGAACTACTGTTATATGAACTAATCTGGTATATAGGTATTGATGTAGATTTTTGAAGCAAATGGAGTGAAGTAAAATTGGGTTTTTAACTGGAAAAATGTTAAACATGTGTTCTACGACATTGAAACTCAGCCACGTGGGAGTTTAATGTGTCTTCAGATAAAATTGACAAAATCTCATCGACAAATCAAAGTGAAATTTAAGCCTATGAAACCTAGGGAAGGTCATGATCACCCTTATCTGCAGTGAAATGCATATTGGCAATGATTTAGGAACAAAATTTCGTTGGTTTTATATTATTATTGTTTTTCAAAAATTTCCCCTACAAGGACAGCTATTTCTTTGTGCTGGTAGTGGTAGTTAAACAGGCCTAAGATATGGATTTGAATGGATTTACTGCTTTCATGCTATCTTTAAATGATCACTTGAGAAACCAATTAGATATTATAATTTTCTTTGTATATTGACTAGCCTCTAAAAAGTTTCATTTATATTTGTTTTAGGGATATCTCAAAACGCACTCTAATGTCTAGGTTCTTTACACCAAGTGCCTCAGTTAATCAATTCCTTCCAATTAGTTTGTTTGGTTGGAAAAGTACGGAAAAATTTATCAGCAACTCTAATTCAGGGGACTATGTTAAAGATCTGTCGTATGCAACGAATCCAAGCTCAAAGAACACTGAGGAACATTCGTCCCTTCAGCCAAAGGACACTGCCATATGGCTTTTAGCCTCGACCATATCAGATTCTTATGATTCACATGACTATCTACCGAATGATTGTCAGATAAATCATGAAGGATTGTGGAAGCTAGCTCTACTTGCCAACAGCACTGTTACATTTGGTACAGAGATGGACTTGAGGTAGAGTGCTATCTCAATTTCTAACTTGGCACAGTTTTTGAGATTTCTTAATTTTTGGATGTCAATTTTATTCTGAAGATCATACAAAATATGTAGTTTGCTTTTCAACTGAGTATCATCGGATAAAATAATGATTTAATGACTGTAAAGTATTCCATAATTATATACAAACGATGTTAGTTTTAAGTTTATAATGGCACAAGATAATTGTTTTGTTTTGCTAAATGCTCGTTAATTTCCAGGAAGTGCTAAAAAGAGTTTACCAATAGTAAAACTAGAAGTGGATATTTGGAATTTAATTATTATATAGTCTGTAAAGAGAATGCAACAACGTGATTATTTCAGCCTTACCGAGAATTCATCTCATTCATTTATTTTGTTAATAGCACGATTAAATGTTTTAGTGTTTTATATTCTTGTTTTAACTCGGCAGGGCTTCTGCCATTGGAGCATCATCTGGTCGAGGTATCATTGGGACTCGGGACGGCCTTGTTTACATATGGGAATTATCTACAGGAAATAAACTGGGCACTCTTCTTCGTTTCAAAGGTATGTATCGCAGCATTGGTGACAAAAGCTTTCCCTTAATTTGCACTATTTCTTTACACGACGCTCAAAAAATGTTTCCATAATTCTTACAACTCATCAATAGAAGAAATGAAGAAACAAGGAGTTGATCCTCTCATACTTCTTTTGATAGTTAATGTGGAAACATACAAACAAATAAGAGACAAGCTTTAAAAGTTGAAAGTGGAAAGATAGAATCTGAATGATGCTATGATATCTGTTTATTTGAACATCATAGGGTGCTCTGGGAGATCACCATATAATATCTTTTAAAAGAAGGGTTCATTTTTGGTGCAAATTTTTTTGATTTATTCAGTTTCTCATATGTTTTCTCCCGTCATAGGTGCAAGTGTTTTTTGTATTGCGACTGATGATAGAGAGACAGGTGTTGTGGCTGTGGCGGCTGATGGTAGGCTTCTGGTTTATCTACTTTCGTCAGATGGGAAAAGATAACCATAAATGCACAACCAACAAAGAAAATTCATTACTTGTAGATTCTGCACACCCCACCAGCAAAATGTTTCAGTTTTAGTTGGTGTCTGCCGTGATTTTGATATGATAATGTAGGATTTATTTTGACATGGTTGCATCTCAGCTGACAATGAATGTAAATAATCATTCATTATGAAATAAAACAAATCATACCTAGGAAGCGTGTATTGTTGTATATAAACCTTACAAAAGTGACTAGTGAATTAGTATTCCTTTCTTTAAGGTTTGAATTTAAATTTTTATTTGTTGTACTAATCAAAATTGTAATATGTTAGGTTAAATAGATATAATTTTCATGTACAATTTAAACTGCATACCTAATTCTTTTCAAATTTTTAGTTTTTTTTTATTTTACTCTTGATTAAGGTGTGTACGATTTGTTTTAATATAATAAAGGTGAGATGTGAAGACTTGAGTTTGACTTCAAGTGTGCATGAAGCTTGTATAGGTGGTTTAATATAATTTTGTAACATTATATTAGTGAATTTTGATGTTTAGTGATAGACAGGATTTAATTATAGAAAAATAATTCAAAGGCGATTACAATTCGAACTTTTAATTTTAAAGTATAAAAATTGAAATATAAAAATAAAATAAAAGTAATTTCACGAAGAGGCTAATCATCTATGTTATTTTATTGCATGCTAATTGTTTAACGTCCAACACTTTGCTTGTCAACAAAAGCACATGCCAAATTATCCAACATAATATGTTGAAAATAAATTTTATTTTGAGAAGACTGAATTTGTATAGCATGGTGGTGAAGTTTTAAAAGTTTCATTTTAATCCTTGACCTTTGAAATTATTTCTAAACAATCTCATTAGCTTTCTCATTAAAATGAAGACGAAAAATAGTGTAGTGAATAGTTGAAAAATAAAATTTATATGTAAATTAAGAGTTTTTAAGAGGTTCATTACTTAGTGGAACTGCGTTTCATGCGACTTGAATCCAAAACTTTAAAGATATTCCTTGAGGTGCTAAACCATCCAAACTATCCCTTGAGAACAAGGGGAAAACATATTTAGGAGATAGAATTTGGTTTAAATGACGAGAAGCCACATATTGTGGGAAAAATCATGCAACTTAGGAAAAGTTACATGTTTGACTCAAACATGGAAAAGTTGAAGAGAAAGGAATTAAGAGAGAAAGCTTCACAGTTCCTAAGAGAAATATGTTTATGAGAGAAAAATTGTGAAAGAGTGGGGTTGATGTAAAGCTGAGTATAATATGGAAGCTAGGAGAACAAGATTGATCGGGGGGAAAGGAGATGATTTTTACCCTCAAATATAAGAAGTCTACTAAGAAACGATGGTCTTTAGATTTGATTGTCTTGGATTTCTTTGTGTGTATTCCTCTCCTATGTTCACGATCTAAAATTAATTTTCGTCAATTGATCGTGAGATAAATACCCCAAATTTTATATGTCCTTTATGGTTTACTTATATTTTTTCATCGTGAGCGGAGAAAATAATATTTTACCCTAATTCGCAAATTCATTCTCCTATCCCAAATCATATTAATGTAATATCAAATGTGATTAAGACTCTTTGATTTTTTTTTACAGCATACCTTGGCGTCATGTTTGCATCGAAAGCTAATGAAATGATTGTTTTGAAACAATTTTGATGCTTAATAGTTTAAATTAAAATTTTAAAATGATAAAGGTATAATTGAAACATATGGTCCAAAAGGTATAAATAAAACATGTAACATTTGCCACATGTACTATAATTTTACAAGTCAATAAAACATGTAACCTTTGCCACGTGTACTGTAATTTTACAAGTCACCATCATATCACTTTTGTCTTCGTTTAAACGAGAAGGTTAAAATGAAACAAATTTGAATTTCAAGATAAAAATGAAACTTTTGAAAATTTAAAGACACGGTTGCAAATTTACCTTTCATCAAAATTTTTTTGTTTCTCATTTTTATTTTATTTTAATTAAAAACGGAAAAGACGTTTCCGTCCTCGCTCGCTACGCTGCGAAGTATGGCGGCATGATGGCTGGAGTGGCGGGAACGCCTTCAACCGTATTCAAAGTTAAGATGTTGCAACGCTTCCTTAGCCTCCGGCGAAGCTTCTCTCGCCTCGCAGGATCCTTAATTGAACTGGGGAATATGTATTGTTCCACATATCCTCCACAGCCCCAACTCTCAGAGCTCGACCAGACCATGGCTTCCGTGCAGTTTATTTCATTAAACTCGAGCTTTTATCTCATGGGTCTTTGCAGGAACATAGATACCCTTATCAAGTTCCACGGGTTGCTTATAGTCCACGGCCTTGTCGGCAATCTTCTCTGTGATACAAAGTTGGTCGGTGTTTATGGCGCACTTGGGGACGTGGACTCTGCTCGATTGGTGTTCGATCAAATGCCGGACCGAGACTTTTATGCATGGAAGGTGATGATCAGGTGGTATTTCTTGAATGATATGTTCGCGGATATTATTCCGTTCTATAATAGCATGAGAATGTCTTTCACAGAGAGTGACAACATTATTTTTTCGATTATCTTGAAAGCTTGTAGTGAATTGCGTGAAATTGTTGAAGGGAGGAAAGTCCACGGCCAGATTGTGAAGGTGGGGGGTCCGGATAGTTTTGTATTGACTGGTTTGGTAGATATGTATGCAAAATGTGGGCAAATTGAGTGCTCATGCGCAGTGTTTGAAGGAATTATTGATAAGAACGTGGTTTCTTGGACTTCAATGATTGCTGGGTATGTACAAAATGATTGCGCAGAGGAGGGTCTGGTTTTATTCAATCGGATGAGAGCAGCATTGGTTGAGAGCAACCAATTTACTTTAGGGAGCATAATCACTGCGTGTACAAAATTAAGAGCTCTGCATCAGGGGAAATGGGTCCATGGCTATGCCATTAAGAATGTTGTTAAACTTAGCGCTTTCTTAACGACGACTTTTTTGGACATGTATGTCAAATGCGGGCAAACTAGAGATGCACGTATTATGTTTGATGAACTTCCTACTATTGATCGTGTTTCATGGACTGCAATGATTGTTGGATATACCCAAGCTGGCCAACCCAATGAAGCATTGAGGCTATTCGCTGGTGAAATAAGGTCTGATCTTTTACCCAATTCAGTCACTGCAGCCACTGTTCTTTCATCGTGTTCGGTCTCTGGTAATTTAAATTTAGGAATGTCAGTTCATGGACTTGGGATTAAACTTGGGCTGGAAGAGTGTGGAGTGAAGAATGCTCTCATTGACATGTATGCTAAATGCCATATGATAGATGAGGCTTATGTTATATTTCATGGGGTTTTGGAAAAAGATGTGATTACTTGGAACTCAATGATATCTGGGTATGCTCAGAATGGAACTGCAAATGAAGCCCTTTTGCTCTTTAATCAAATGAGATCAAGCTCCGCAGCACCCGATGCAATAACACTAGTGAGCGCCCTTTCTGCATCTGCCACTCTAGGTGCTGTACATGTTGGTTCATCGCTTCATGCTTACTCGATAAAAGTAGGCCTCTTTTCATTGAATCTTTACATTGGCACAACGCTTTTGAACTTTTATGCCAAATGTGGCGATGCTAAATCAGCACGTATGGTGTTCGACAGTATGGGAGATAAGAACATTATCACGTGGAGTGCGATGATAGGTGGTTATGGGGTGCAGGGTGATGGAAGTGGATCCCTTGCAATTTTCTCTGACATGTTGAAGGAGGATGTGAAACCCAATGAAGTTATTTTCACGACAGTATTATCTGCTTGTAGCTATTCAGGAATGGTCGCTGAGGGATGGAGGTATTTCAAATCTATGAGTCAGGATTATAACTTTATGCCTTCCATGAAACACTATGCCTGTATGGTCGATCTTTTGGCCCGATCTGGCAGACTGGATGAAGCATTGGACTTTATTAAGAAAATGCCAGTTCAACCAGATATTAGTTTGTATGGAGCTTTTCTTCATGGATGTGGATTATACTCGAGGTTTGATCTCGGAGAGGTGGTAGTCAAGGAAATGTTACAGCTTCATCCGGATGAAGCTTGCTATTATGTGCTTTTATCTAACCTGTATGCTTCAGATGGGAGATGGGGTCAAGTTAATCAGGTGAGAGAGTTGATGCAACAGAGAGGATTGAACAAAGACCCAGGGTATAGCCTAGTAGAAACGGATGCTGGTATGCTGTTTCATTAGCTAAAGCATTACTTGTGTGGTTCATATCTTCATGTTTTGACCATATTCCGAGAAGCTCTAAGGTTTTGTCACTAGATCTATTAGGAAAATTGTTGCCATGAGCCCTATTAGAACCATCCTGATATTGACTGGTATATTCCACCTGTAACGATCAAAAGAGACGGTTCTCCTCTGCAAGTCATAGGAAATTGCATACTCCTCTGAGTACAAGGAATTGCATACTCAATGATTGTTCAGGATTGCAGGAGTAAAGAACACGAAATTGAATTCTTACTGAGAAGATTGGATTCTTTTCTGCAACCACAACTGACACTTATGCTGATACACATCTGAGGACTTGAGCTAAAATGGATTTTAACCAATTATGTCAAGCTAAGTAGAGCATCATCCTCAAGAACTATGGTAAACTGCAAAGTTCTACGGGAACTGCCATGTTTTGTTGGGTTGGGCCATACGACAGCGACATTTCCAATTCTAGGAGTGAGATCTGGTTTGCATGATTTTTAGCTTTTCACAACATTAAGCTTCTTCTGATGTGTTGGATAGTTTTTCTGACCTATTTGCAGGAGCTGCCATGTATATTGCTTCCCAATTTTTAAAATATGTTCACAAGTACATGGTTTATGCAATGTTGTTACAATGGGATCAAATGTAAAATGGAAATTCATGAGGGGTCCAAAAGGGCCTTTATTTATGGCGTGCATGACCTCTCCATTAAATACCGAATATCTCTATTTCTGAGATGCTGTCTCATTGGCAAATATTTATTAAAGGTTATATCTTCCCTTACAGATTTTGTCCACGGATGGTGGTTCATTTTCTGGGAAAACCCCTGATATTGCATTGGGAAATGTTTCATGCAAGGTTGATGGCGTTGAGGTAGAATTCTTCTCTTTCCGCCTGTAGTTTGTTTGCTTCTTAGATTTGCTTTTTTCTACAGAACTCTTAAACAGTAGAGACAACCACTAATTAATGAGTCCCTAATACTGTAACCTCTAATTTCTTGCACTTCCAATGATTCGAATTTTAATCAACATCCCCTTTCCATAATTTTCTTCAACCATGTAATTAACTTGTTCATTCTTGATTGCAAATTTAGCTTTGAGTTAATGCTCCAGTCAAATTGGTGTGTAAAATTGCAGAGCTTCTACTATCTCCGCATTATGAAAATATCACCACCATTAAGGAACTTCAGTTTCACTCGTGAAATGGAACCCTTGTGGATTTGCACTTGAGGAGTTGATTTCATGCAATCTTAAGACTTAAGAGCAATGATTAACTTTCTACCCTTTGTATATATCTATGCAAATATTTGAGGTCAAGTAAAAAAACCAGACGATGTTAGAGCAATGAGGCACAAAAGGATTCTGTTAAAATTATCTTCTTGGAAAACATAACTAATAACAAATCTCAAGCATAAGCAGTTATAGGAACCTTTACTTTCACCTTTTTAATATATTGTTTCTTTGTTTAGGAATGAGGTCAGTTAACAATTTTACTTCATTGAAATGTCTATGAGCTAATGGATTTATCTTCTGTAGATTAACAAGCAGAATATTACTCACTCGCCACAGGCGCACACACAATCAAATGTATAAAATTTAATTTAATTTCATCTTTATCAGCAACTCAAGGGACTATCTTAAAAAGTTGTCGAAGCTCAAAAAACACTGAGGAACATTGGTCACTTCAGTCAAAGGACAATGCCATATGGCTTTTAGCCTTAACCATATCTGATTCTTATGATTCGCATGACTATCCACCAAATGATTGTCAGATAAATCATGAAGGATTATGGAAACTAGCTCTACTTGTTAACAACACGGTTACATTTGGTGCAGAGCTGGATTTGAGGTAGATTGCTATATCTCAAATTTCAAACTTGGCAGTCTTTGACATTTCTTTATTTGTGGATGTCAATTTTATTTTGGATATCGTACAAATATGTACTTTGCTTATCAACTGAGCACCATCGGATAAAATATTTATTTAATTACTGCAAAGTATTCCATAAGTATATACAAAGAGTCTACGACAGTAAAACCACAAGTGGAATTTTTTTTGCAACATGTGAGGGTGGGTTCGAACTCACAACCTCTTGATTGGAGATATGTGTCAATTACCGCTGAATCATTTTGGCTTTTGAATTTAATTGTTACGTAGTCTTGAATTAAACAACATGATTATTTCAACCTAACTGAATTCGTCGCATTCATTTATTTTGTTAATAGCCCGATTAGATGTTTTGGTGTTTATAATTCTTTATTTATTTATTTATTTTTTCTTTCACTCGGCAGGGATTCTGCATTGGGGCATCAGGTCGAGATATCATTGGGACTCGGGACGGCCTCGTTTACATGTGGAATCATCTACAGGAAATAAAATGGGCACTCTTCTTCATTTCAAAGGTATGTATCGCAGCATTGGTGACAAAAGATTTCTCTTAATTTGCACTATTTATTTACACAATGCCGAAAAAGTTCATCACTTCGCTATACTGAAATGTTACCATAATTCTTACAATACAACTCATGAAGAGAAGAAATAAAGAAACAAGGAGTTGATCCTCTCATACTTCTTTTGATACTTAAAGTGGAAACATATTAACAAATAAGAGACGAGCTTTAAAAGTTGAAAGTGGAAAGGTAGAATCTGAATGATGCTATCATATCTTTTAAAAGAAGTGTCCATTTTTGGTGCAAAATTTTTTGATTTATTCAGTTTCTCATATGTTTTTTCTTCGTCTTAGGTGCAAGTGTTTTTTGTATTGCGATTGATTATAGAGAGACAGGTGTCGTGGCTGTGGCGGCTAGGCTTCTGGTTTATCTACTTTCGGCAGATGAACCATAAATGCACAACCAACAAAGGAAATTCGTTACTTGTAGATTCTGCACACCCCACCAGCGAAATGATTAGTTTTAGTTGGTGTCTGCCGTGACGTTGATATGATAAAGGATTTACTGTGACGTGGCTGCATTCGAGACCACGATGAATGTAAATAATCATTCATTATGACATAAACAAATCATACTTTCATGTAGACAACCGAATTACTTTTCCTTCCTTTGTGCTCGGAGTTTAAGATCGTAAAAAAATTGTGCTCTCAAATTAGATCAATAGAATTATTATATACAATATTTTGAATTGCATACTTAACCTGCCCAAACCGGTCGATTTCACCTTCGGTGTGCTGCCTGTGTTTGAGGGAAGCAGAATCCTTAGATCATCTGTTTCTTCACTGCACTTTTGCTTCTAAAGGCTAGCAGGTTTTGTTTGATATTTTTGGGATAGTAAGCTGTATGCGGATTGGATGATGGAAAACTTTTCTTGGATGGCATTTGAAAGGAAAGACGTATTTTTTGTGGAAGTGTGAGTTCCGAGCACTTCTCTGGAATCTATGGATGGAAAGGAATCTCCACTCTTTTGATGATAAGTCAAAGTCTTTTGATTCTTTTTGTAATAGCGTATATATTACAACCTCTTGGTAGTGCCATAGAAATACGAAATTCTTTTGTAACTACAGCCTCTCTAGGATCCTACAAGATTGGAGAGAGTTGTTTCATTAATTCCTTTTTGGGAGGGGGTCTTCTCATCCCCTGTCCTTTAGGTTGTTTTTTGCGGTAAGTGAGAATTTGAACCTCTAATTTCAATACATGAAACTTGTATTTTTCAACATTATATCATTAGTGAAATTCTATGTTTAGTGATTTACGGGATTTAATAAAAAAATGTTACTACACATGTGACTGCAATTCAAATTTTTAATTTTAAAGCATCGAAAATAATATTTAAAATAATATTAATTTTTTTCGAACCGAAAAATAATATTAATTTAAAAGAGTCAAATCAACCATGTTATAAATGCATCAACCGAAACAGAACTCAATTAGTTAAGACATCTATTTTCGATTAAAAAATCGAAAATCCCTACGTGCACATATGTACCCCAGAA